TTGATTTATATGGTTTTTCTTAAAGCGTGAGCCATATTTTTATGGCTTCGAAAAAAAATTTAACTTTAAAAACATTGCAATTATTTTATATTTGACTAAGGAGTTAAAATTTAAATGCGTACAGCTGCCGCGAGCTGTCCCATTAAATCCTTGGTCTTAACGGAATTTCGAATGCTGTACTTGTGGCTCGGTAATCTTGTTCTGTGCTCAGCTCACACCCTAAGATCAAAGGTGTGAATGGGTGAAATAAAATAGTAGTTAGTATTCTATTCAAATATTTTAAGTTTGCCTTGGCTTAAAAGCTACATAACCCAAAAAGCTGATTGCCTTATTTTATTATATCAATTTAAGATTATAAAATGGCATAAAAATGAAGCAAAATTGATGACAAAAGTTTCAGAATAACTTTTATTTTTATTTTTTTCTGGAAAAACTTTTAGCTACTCATAAATATGTAGCTACTCAAATACATTTTATCGTCCGCAGTAAGATAGCGTTGGTAATACATAAAAAAACACATTTGTCTTCAAGCAAGTGGAGAGCGAACAAAATGAAAGGTAATTTAGTGACCTCGTTGACACCGAATAAATTCGGCATATCCGTTTGCCAATGAGAAAAATGAGAAAAAAAAAAACATTTTACTTTTCGCTTTAATATTTTTTATAAGTTTTCTTTAGAACATATTTCTTCAAGCAGCAATGAGAATGCAAAAGGGGAACTTTTCGCCAAGTTGAAAAGCATAAACATATTTTTTAAATGCATACAAATTGTGGGCGGTGTCATAAAAGCAATACTTTCTTACCTTTGCCAACTCACATTACCACTCAGCAGCGCGCGCAACCATGACGAAGCGTTGCGTATTCTCGCGTACTCACTCTTATCTCTTCTGCTCTTCTCTAACCAAAACTTTTTCTATACTCTGCTTCGTAGCTTTTTTGTAGCTGATTCTGTTTGTTTTTTTTTTATCTGCTCCGCATTTTTGTCTTCCCCCTTTAGTCTTTCTTTCAGCTTCTCCCACATTCTTCAAATAGCATTTTCTTATCGTTTCAGTTGATCGCTAAGTCCAGAGTTGCAGAAGTTGCTCCTACTGTTCTAATGCATTGTGTGCGAGCAAGCGGGTGTTTTGGCGAAAAAGATAAATTACTTTTGTGTTTGTGTTTTCTTGCGTATTTTTGTCATTGTTATTATCGCACATTGTCTGTGGGGGTCGTTCGGTCTGCCGGTTGTGCTTTACGCGATATGTACCTATAACCTTGCGTAGTATTAATATATAATAATATAGAGTATGAATTGTTGTTGTTCGTTACGTGTGCAATCGCTAAAGCGGAAGCTTCCATTGTTGTGAATGTTTAACATCCGTTTAACATCAATTTCATGCTGATACAGTTACAAATAAAGACGCCTATGTGTGCGTGCGAGTACTATGTGGTAGTTGCTCCGTAACTCTTTAGTAGACAGCAGTCAGCAGCCTATCTGCGTTTTCATACAAGTATATAGTACATTTCATGGCACAAAAAGGCACATAAACCATTGCGTACGAGTATTTGCACACTAAGCCAAATGCATGTGTGTGCATGCCTACTGTTATCACTATATACATATTCTTTAAAATATAACCTTTTGGCTTTGGCTTGAGCCCTCTTAAGCCTCCTACGTTATTCCTATGCGACGTCTTCCACCATCGAGGTATCTTTACATATTTGTTGCTGGTAGATATCTACTTCCCAGCTATGTATGTAAGTGTGTGTGTGCATGTCTGAATGTGAATTTACTGCCATTTTACTTACACATTTTCTATCACATAAATCTACACCGTTATTACCATCTCATACTTTGTGGCGCTCTGAGAGGACGACATCGCTGATGCGTACATCCTTTTCAACTGCGTGATAATCATTTTAAATTAAATCATAATTTTAAACACATTTCCGCTGACGTGAAAACACTTACTTAACAGGAAATAAAAGTGAAAATATGTCTCCCTGCTATGGCGTACATCTATATTTAGCTATACATTTACATACATACATTTATAAGTATATATAGTACAGTATAGAGGTATACGTATGTATGTATGTTTTTTTTTTATGTTGCCACTAGCACCGTAGTTGGAAAAACCGCATATTATTCACGCCTTTTTGAATGTTAGAGAAATGAGAGGAAATTTGCGGTATATTAAAAAGTGCCGGTGGGAAAATTATAAGCTCTAATTTGCGCTGGTGATTATGTAATAAACTTAGCAAAAAATACACTAAAAAAAAAAATAAAAAACAAATTTCGTAGAGGAAGTTTTTGGTTGCATATGTTTTGAAATTTAGGGCTTCAAACAAAATTCGTTTGGCAAATTACTAGCAAGATGCTAAACTACAAAATAAAAACAACTACCTACTCACACACAAAATTACAAATTTAGCCGCTAGAACTAAATGGCTGAAATTTGAAATTTGGCATACATTTTTGGTAATTGAAAACCAGAACTTAATTTTTTAGGAATGAAGTAATTGGGCATATTTTTCTGGTAATTTAAATTTAAGCATAATGTTTTGGTAATACTAGAATTAGACAAATTTTTGGGTATTAAGAAGCCGGGAATATGTATGTATGGACATATATTTTTTTGAGCATTTAAAAACTAGGTAGGCATATTTACATTTTTGATCCTTTTAAAACTGGACATACATTTTTGGCTATTTAAAAACTGGACCTAAATATTTTAGTTGTTTCAAAATTAGACATATATTTTGGATCACTTTAAAATAAGACTTTATGGGTAAATCTATAACTGGGCATACATTTTCGGCCATTCAAAACCTGGACATACATTTTTTTTGTAATTAAAGAATTGCACGTAAATTTTTGGACACTTAAAAATTGGGCGTGCATTTTGATCATGTAACGCCTGGACTTAAAAGTTTGGTAATTTAAAAACTAGACATCCATTTTTGTTCATTTTAAAACTAGACATAATTTTTGTTGATGCAAAACCTGGTCTTAGAAGTTTGGTTGTTTAAAAACTAGACAGACATTTTTACAAATTTTAAAAGTAGACATAATTTTTGGTTATGCAAAATATGGACATAAAATTTTAAAAACTAAACCTATATATTTGGCCATTCAAAAACTGAGCATACATATTTGGTTATGAAAAATGTGGACATAACTTTTTGGTATTTTCAAAACCGAACATATTTTTTCTGGTAGATGGACAACTAGACACAAACGACAACAAATGTATGTTCACCGATTACATTATCAGAAATGGATGTCCAAACAATTATGCCCTCTTTATATATTACCAAATTATTATTTTTCATGCAGAAATGCATCTATGTGCTCGAGAACCATTTCCGGAACAAACATTTTTTTTTTGAAAAATATATCGCATACTTTTTTTTGACGCTCTACCGTCGCTCGCTATATTCGAATTTTCAAGATGCAAAAAAAGCTATGTTCAATTTTTACTTTAAGTACACAAATATTTTTCCCTCGGAAGCCATACAATTTTTTACGTAAACAATTTTTTTTTTTTCGAAACACAAGCGCAAGTACTATTTTTGTGATAATTAAACGGTTTTCTGCCACAAAACAACCATCATATATTTGTGGAAGTGGACTAAAAGCTTACAAAATTAAACGCCAGTATTGTTTTATTTGCACTCAAATGTTAAGGAATCAAAAATAATAGTCTTTGCACCGCAAGCACAAAATTTTGACCACAAAATTTTTCTGTCTTCGAAAAAACATGCGAGAATTTCTTTCCGAGAATATCTCCCCTATGTTTTTATAAGGAAAATTTTTTCTGAATGCTTCCTAAAGCGTCATACCTTATTTAGCATTGGTACTCTTTGGAAATCTATTCAAAAAAAAAAAAACTTAAAGGTATAGTAGAGAAAGGATGATGATGGGCTGGTCGACAAAGAACAAAGCTCTTTAATATTTTTTTGTCGCCGTGCAAAGACACTCTGTAGTTCTTAACACTTGTGCGTAAATAAAATGTAATTCAGTCGTGATTGACTGTCACTTTATTCGGCGAAAATGGTAAGCTAAATGCACGCTTTTATAAATATATTTTGATTATTACTAAGCTGCAAAAATACTCTTGCACAGTCATTTTAATAAACTGCTATCAAAATGTTCCATATTCTACTTTATTTACCACAAAAAAAAAAAAAAACTTAAAAAATACGCTTACAAAATTTCCAACCTCTTTAAGGAATGCCTCAACAAATCTAAACATTTTGGATGCGTTTTCATCACACAGCGTGAATTTTATTGGCCATTTTATTTTAGCCAAATCGTTTGTGTTCGTCAGGTTACTAGTTTCAAGAAATGCATATCATCCTTGTAACGGGATATATGTAACAATTCATCTCACTAGTGCCCCATTGAATTCATATGCCCTCCCCATTCCACTCTTGCTTCAGACCCTGTGAGAAACTTTTCGCTTTTTAGCTACCAGCGCCATCTGATGTTTAGAAAATATTGTAGCTTCAGTTTTAAAAATAAATAAACACTTACATTGTTCTATCCCTATAGACTTGCCTTGCAGTCCTAGTGACAATGCAGAATTGAGCTCTTGAGAATAAAAAGCTGTAGTAAATGCTGTATATCGCATCTATTTGCTACATTTATTTCTGACATACCTTTTATTTGTAAGTTACCACGGATTTCTAAGACCTCTTCCCCTTATCTAATAAAAAGTTGTGTCGATCACGCTTTCAACTATTTAAGTACTTGAGACTTCATGGCTAGTGCTTAAGATAGTAAATTTGTCGAATCTATTTCATAAAACCAATAACTATTCTTGCAGGTTTTCAATGAGTAAAATTGCTCTGATAAATTTTCCGAAATGCCTATTATTTCTTTATCAAAAAAGATCAAATTACTGTTCTGGCCTAATACCAATATATGGATGTAGGTTGATACCAAAAATGCGAAGATAAGTTGAGTGATTTCATTTCTGAAATAGTAGATTAATATCATAAAATTTTTTTTAACAGTACCGATTAGAAATATAAGCCCAAACAAAAATACAAATATCATGGTATGTAGCACTCGAGTGAAATGTAACATTTTTATAAAACTCTAATTTTGGAAAAGCGAAAAAAAAACTAAAATCAAAATTACAACGTACAAAAAGTAAAAAAAACAAAAAACCGCCAACAATGTTATGAATCAACGTAGTGAGAACAGATTCAAATTCTAGAGAAAGTGACTCAGAAATTGCAGGCGAAACCGCGTGCGAAAAATCCATTACTTAGATAATAAACGAGTACAGTATTAGTCTACATAAATAAAACGGAGTTGTTTACATATGTACATTACGAAATAGCTACAAAACGAAGTCAAGTGCATTTTTTCGTATAATAATTAAACTGCCTACTAAGTAGGCTAAAAGTCTAATAACAACGATCAATAAAAAAAAAAAATGTTTGAAAAACTCCTACAAATCCAGAAAAAAGTAATGCGACTCAAAATATAAAAAGTAATCATTAAAAAACCAAATCATCCGAGAAACTTTCAGTAGAATTTTAATAGTTTCGCTATTAAAAACGCAGCGTCAAAATAATAAAAGTAGTGTACAAAATTTAAACGACAACTAAAAAAAAAAACACCATGGTGCACTTAAAAAGCAAACTACAACAAATAAGTAACAATAACAAAATTCAAAGCATACAAATGTAAACTGATCTTATCCAATAAAAACTTAATAAATCACTAAAACTTCGAATAAACACCGCCAGCTTTTGTATCATATAAAGAATATGGATTCCTTGGAGCGCCTATTGCGCGCAGCTCCTCTGCCGCGCACGCTGACAAGCGTGAATGGTGCTGTCGCTAAGGGTCAACAACGCGCCTTGGTGCACGCCTCTTTGGCAGCAGCCACAGTCGGTCGTAAGGGACGTCATTTAACTGGCACTTTTTGCCTTACCGGCGACACCATGGAGGGTATAATACAGTGTTTGGTCTTCTTAAAAGCATTTTCGGTGAGTAAAAAAAAATATTATTATAAAAATGGAGAAAAGAACAAGTACAGTAAAAAATAAAACAAGTATTTGAACAAGTTTAGCCTTAAACCTTTATGTTGGCGAAAAAGTACCGAAATTACAGTTTTCTTTTATTTTCACTCGAGTTCTCAAATGGAATGCTCATATTAGAGTTAATGGAAGTTGGCATCAGATACAACATATCTGTGAAGTTTCAACAGTGTGCCACCAGATTAAAAAAAGATGGCAGCATGCAGAATATATGTCGCAGCTATTTTGTAATTTTTTACATATATTCGTCCTTATCGTATAACTTAAAAAAAAAAGAATTTTAATTTTGCAAGGATATTCAAGGACAAAATTTTAAAATGACATTTTCAATACCTAAAAAAAGTAAATCTTTCAGAATTATACTGAATTTTACTTTAAATTTGTTACCCATATCTTTATTCTAACTTGCACTGAATGTTTTAAAACATTTTTTGAATAATACTATGTCTCCATTTTGAGATTTAATGAAGATTTAGCCCTCTGACGAGATTTGGCGTTAAATCTTTTGAGATTTACCATATAAAATTAAATCTCGAAAGGCGGTAGATTTAAGTTAAATCTTCGTCAAATCTTCAATAATATTGATCAATAAGTACAATTTGTTGGATGTGGCAACCACAAATTCACATGCCATAAGTCAAATGACATTTGTGTTTTCAATATACAGTTGAGGACATTGAAATCTAGCCTATCATAAAAACATGAATTTTCGTATTTTTAGGAATTTTTATATTTTTGTTAGTTTGGGAGGAAAATTAGTAATACATATGTACATAACTTTGGTTGTAATAAATTAAGAAAATATTTTTTTAAAAACTAAAAATTTAGAAGAAATGTTTTATAGTAATATCATGCAGAGTTTTCTCCGCTTTCTATAAGTCATTTGCGCGCTCCGACAAAAAATTTATAAATTTCGGTAATGGTTCTGCTTGGATAACATTGCACCGAACATCCTCTAGAACTCAATTCGTCTTCATGATATGCCAAAGGCCCACGATTGGATTTTCGGTTCCCTCCTATGAATAAGAGAGTTCTACAAAAATTTTTCCTTCCGGAAATGTTTTTTACCGTTTCGATAATTTTTCTTAAATTCGGGAAAATGATTGGGAATATGGTACCATTCTTTACATTTTCCAAACTATATATTATACATACATATTTACCACGGATAAGAAGCCAATAATATTAAGAATTCACATAATGAAATTCCGTTTGGCACCTTCCTTTTATCTGTCTGTATATCAATGTCCGCAACTGTATTTATAAAATCATACATAAGTAAACGTCAAATATTTAAAAATGTGAACGTCAAACATATCTGGTTGTGGTAATGGAGACGGTTGTGATTTAGCAACTGGATTTATTAAATCTTAATGGATAAATCTCTCAATGGAGACATAGTATAAAGCATATCTTTGAAATTTCAAAGAGCTTTTGAAAAAAACTCTGACGTCAGACACAAAAGCAGAGCACGTACTTTTAATTTGGGTCATAGTTTCGCTAGTACATATACTAATTTTTCACAATTAACTGAGACAAGCAGCTTGGCTCGTAAAAGTTTTAAAATAGGACAAACCGCAAATCCGGGATCGCTCAAGAGGTTTGATTGTTCCTTTAAGGAAGCATGGATTGAGGCTTCTTCTATACTTCTGGGGACTCAATTACTCTGGAAATCAGGTAATGTTTCCACCTTCCCCACCCTCGCAGGGGATGAATTGAATGTGGTAACCTTTGCTGCTTGAACAGTGGCAACTGAAAATGCCATAAGATATGAAATTTTAACCCTTGACAGCTTCCAATAAGTCCTTGGTCGGCCTTGTTCTCCCTATTCAATATTCGGTTTTGTACTGAAGTGAGTATTAAGTTCAATTTTAGATAGTAAGCTTTTATGGGAGTGGGAGTAAAACATTGAAAGAAAGACCTTTGAAGGCTTTATGGCGATCCGGCAATGTATTTACAAATTAAAATAGAAGTGGAGCAGACTTTCAATCAACCGCGTCGGAAATCTTCATAGAACGATCGCTATATGCTATATGGGAGATTTTCTACAACACCTTTTTGTTTTTAGTTTTTTTTTTTTAGTAAGACCGTGAAAACCACTTAAAATGGGTGTAGTTATGCAACACAGTGAAGTGGAGTATCCTCCTGGAGGCAGATATGTAGACGTTTCAATAGAACATGACGATTCACCACCATGGTCTTTGCTGTAGGAACGTTCCGATACCCTCAAAGTATCGATACCTACTCAAATGAGTTTACAAATCGCTATTTCGATACTACATATATGAGTGAACCGAATGTATCAATACCTACTTATATCGATAATTTTTCATCCTTTTAATGCAACAAAGCGAAAGTAATTTTCTGGCGTTATTTGTGACATACCTTTTGCGACACCTGAGTGGAAGGTCGACCTATCTCGGCAACCAGTTTGAATTTGATTAAAAAACGCCATACTCCGAAAACTTTTCAAGAACACCCTATTTCAGAATTCGGTTCAAAAACGGCCTCTCAGCTGCCGATTCAATATATTTTCAGTTGAGGTATCGATGTGTTTATTTTTTTATTAGTAATACTAGAAGTAATACTATTACTTAGAGAAAAAACTCCACCTTTGAAAGATTCCCACAAAACTTTACGGCTACAAACCGTTGCTTGCACTTTGCTGTGGTATCACTAACTTTGTAAAAATATATCCACACTTTAGATTTTGGCGGTACCATCGCTTTAAGCAATTATTTTTCATAAAAATGAATCAATTCAGGCAGGTTCTGCAATTCACTTTCGAGTGAATTTCAATCAAACTCGCTTTGTATTCAAATTGGCAGGGATGGGCGGAAAAATATAGCCGACAAGATTCAAATCGATTCGATAGAAGTACTTTTCTTTCGATCCCAAGTAGGTATCGAAAACATGATTCGAGTAAAAAAAATAGTTGGTATCGAAACAAAAGTATCGAGTACATACTCGTATTTACTTCTATCGGAACATGCCTACTTTGTTGAAGAGATACCGAAATTTTGTCTTCCCCTAGGCCCAGTGATATTTTGACTACAACTACAACAGGATCTGGAGTCTATATCGAGTATAACGGAGAAAATTTGCACTTCTTTCTTTCTCAAGCCGAGGTACTTGAAATCCTAACGGCTCGGGGAAAAGAAGGCTGAGAGATAGGAGTTGTTTGTGAAAGCCAAGCTGCACTCAAGGCTTGCCCAGTCCTCTAGCTACCGCTTACACATTAGTTCGACAGTGAAAATCTTGACAAAACTATGTTGGAAAAAGAACTGTTTTAAGCGTCAGGTCACACTGAAAGCACTCAGACCAGGTACTTATTTGTAAAGAATCCTTTCAAATTCCTTTTGCTCTCTTATCTACTTGCTTCTTTTAAAAGCAAGATTAAAAATTTATTTTTTTTAATTTTTTTTTTCATTTTTGTACACACATTTTTTGAATCCTTCAAGCGTGACGGCCTTTGTTGTTAAGCGCTTTATTTGTTTATTGGTTATTGGCTGCTTGTAGCGAGAAAAACAAATTTTTGATGTTTGTAAAACCAAATCATGCATACTTTTAGGGTCATCCTGCGTGTATTGCTACAAAAACGATATCTGTTTATGAGTGATGATGCTTGTAAATGCATGATGCCGTATAAGCGTGTTTATACTTAAGTACTTTGTTTGGTAGATAAAAAGGGTGAAATTATTTTGAAATATATCAACGCCTAACTGTTTACATGTCGATAAATTTCCCTTTAGCGACTAATCAAAAGTACTTAAACATTTAACTTATGTCTATACGCCTAACTGATATATATTTTTCTTGTTTTGTTTTTCTTTACAGGTGAGTTGTGATGTTACGTTTTACTGGTTTACTACTCGTCTTACTAAATGAATACAAATATATTTGTGAGCGCGCCAGGAAAAACACGAAAGCTTTTGAGCAGCAGCTGTCATGGTTATATAGTTTGAGCCAATTTTTGGTGCCGTGAGTGTGTGGGGAATTTAAATTTATGTAACTCAAGTTTTGAAATTTTAATTTTTTGTTCGCATTTTTTGTTTATTTTCATTATTTTCATTTGCTACACAAATATGAACCGTGACATTACAAGTTTTAGTTTTTATACAAACTCTTACTGAACAAAAAAATAAAAAGAATTTATAAAAATGCATACGCAGCTTTTAGTCATACAATAATTTTGGTAAGCCTTGTTGGTTAACTTTTTGCACAAAAATCACGGAACCGTGGAAAAAAGCACTAATCTACCGAATGCATCTGGCGCTGAAGTGTCAAGACCCACCGTGCGGCCGTCTATTCCATCTGAAGTCATCGACTTCGCCGGCATGCGTTTTCTCATCACCGACACTCCAAATAAGTTTACCATTAAGCCATTCATTGAGAACCTGCTGCGCCACAATGTGAAGTTATTGGTTGGCTTATGTGACGTTAGCTATGATACAGGTCCGTTTGTGGCAGCCAATATTGAGGTATTGAGTTTGCAATTTCCGGAGAGAACTTTACCAGATGAACAGCTCAAGCGGCATTGGTTTCGTATTTTACTGCGTCAGCAAAGCGAATATCCCGACAGTTGTGTGGCAGTACATGGCAATAGCGGATTGGGCCGTGCTGCGCTGCTTGTGGCAATTGCACTTATCGAGCTGGGCATGGGCTATGACATTGCTGTGGCCGTTATACGTAGCAAAAGACGTGGCGCCATAAATGATGCACAATTTGAATATCTAAAAAATTATAAGCCGGAAACGAGGAACGGACTGACGCAGATGAGGCAGCGAAAAGCTAGCAACCACTGTGTGGTGCAGTAGTTAGGAAGATGACAAAGACAGGCCAATGAATGCTTATAATTTGAACTTGAAAAGTAAAGAAGAAATTTGAAGTTCGAAATATTTCATAAAAATGAGTGAAGAGAATTTTAAATCATACATTAGTGATTATCATGGTGATTATGTTATTTTGGAGTTAAATTTTTTTAAATCTTGTTGAATTGTTTTTTCCCTTAAAAAAAAAAAAATAAAAAATCTGCTCTTACTGCCCTGTTTCGCATATTTGTTATTGTTGCACTTACATTTACACCACTTAACGACTTTCGCTTTCATACGCGCAATTTCGTTGCGCACATACTTTTTCTGTTTCTCAGCATTATTTGCTTCGCGCTAAACACTTTCCCCGTACTGCTTTAACGAAATAAACTTTTAAAATATTCCACAACAACGTGTAAACATATTGTTCGAGATTTTAAAAGCAGCATATTTAATGGCTTTACAGTTCCACTCAGACTGAGTTCTTTTCACGAAGCTGTTGCCCTACTCCAGTTTCGACGCAAGCAACAAAAAAAAAAAAAAAAAAAAAAAAATACCTGCATGAAAAAGAAATCTAAAAGGTAGCATGTCTACTTTTAAGCGCCAGCGGGCCTCCAAATTAAAAGTTTGCAACTGAGTAAAAATCAAGTGAAAGTGTGTTTAGCGGGGAGCGAAAATATTTGTGCTAAATATTTGTTGCTTTTATATTCTTGCCTAAATTGTTATTTTGCGTCTGGTTTTTTTTTTTCTTTTGTAAATTAAAATGTTTTAGCTTAAAAAGTTACAGTCGTATTTTACATACATAAATAACCGGCAGAAAACAAACAATTGCGACAGCTTGCATTAGAGTGTGCAAAAAGTTATATTCAACTTTCGGTGGGACTAGAAAGTGTTTACAAAGTTGATATTCTTTTATTTATTTTTGTGTGATTTTGTTTTTTTTTGTAGCAGCTGTGGTTTGCTGCTGCCGCATGTACATAATGCCTATGTGTGTTATTTTTTAAGTATTTAATTTTTTTTTTTAAGATTATAAGGGTGAGCTGAGGGGCGCGTGGTTTATATTGATGGTTCTGAAACGTTTTTAATCCAACACACACGTGCATATGTAAATTGCAGATTACTTTTAACTTTTCACTTGATTTTGCATATTTGATAAAACAGATTTGTGTGGCTTTTATCACAGATTAAGTTAGCGTTTGGCAGCGGATGTAACATACCCTTAACCTGGGTTCATTTTAGGAAAAAAAATGCTGAAGCACTTTGTATCCCTAACGGGGTTGGGGAAATTCAAAAGATCCAACTCCAAGGTATCTGGCAATTTAGTGATGAGGGGCACAATCATGATAGTCTATGGACTGAGTTACCATTCTTGAGCTCACTCAATAACTAAAGCTTATGTAGATATGTCAGCTCAGTGTAGTGGCACCTTTTAGCAAAATTATTAGTTCATTTCAATTCCAACTTCTATTCATTTCTATAGCTGGGATAAAACACCGTCTGAGATATGTATATCATCGGGTGTGTGTTCGTGCAGAGTGATCAATAGATCAGAAAATATGTAGATTTCTGCATTAAGCCTTTAGTCAAAGACAAAAGGTCTAAGCTGACGTTTGTATAAAGACAATAGAACATGTCGACGGCTGAGTGGAAGATCGACTAGTCTCGGTAGCCTGTTCAAAAACGCCCTGTCTCAGAAAAGTTTTCAATAACGCCCTATCTCTGCTGTTGATTCAAAAACGCCCTATCTTAACATATTTTCGCTATATTATCATTGAGATAGAGCATTTTTGAATCAAATTCTGAGATAAGGCGTCTTTAACTAATTTCAATCAAATTACGAACTAGCGCGTTCTTTAACCAATTTTGAAGTAGGGCGTTTTTGAAAAGTTGTCTAAGATAGGGCGTTTTCGAACTGGCTGCCGAGATAGGTCGATGGTCGATCTTCCACTGAACCGTCCATATGAAGTTTTCGTAAACTTTAATGTTTATAAATTGGTTCCCTCCACGTCAGTTTACTTTTTCCATAATTCTACGGTATTTTTCGGTGCCGCATAGTTTTTGCGGAAACTTTGCAGCTTATCGCTTGCTTAAAAGATGTGCAGTATGTCTGTCATAGTTTAGGTCGATTAGAATTGAGAGAACAGAAAAATAAATGGCCAAGTAATAGATATGTATGATTGATAAAATTGCATGAAGGCTCAGACAGGTCCTACAATGATATCAAGTACTATGTGGACCCCCCTTGCACAAAAAGACCTCCGTCGTCTCATGCCTATCATTTACAGGTATTTTTGCCACGAGAAATCACTAGTCAACAATCTCAAAAATTGCCTGCAGTCCCATTCCTAGCAAAATAACAAGAGGTTTTCCATCTGCACGCCTCGAAGCCTCCCTCGCGAAGTATTCGCCCAGCCTCTGGTGGACGCTTCAGCGGCAGACGCTTCTAAACGGTGGGAGCGCAATAACTGGAGGCGAACCAATAAGTACCTAATCTGAGCATCTCAGCTGCCTCGTTAGCTGGTACATCCTAGTGACCTTCCTAATAAGTATGGAAGTAGTTAGAAGGCTGCCCAATGTCCTGAGTGCAGTTTTGATATCACTTCAAGCGAGCAAACTACTAGCTCCCTAATCCCTGTCCATTGCGGTGAGAATTGTAAATACCTCGGCTTAGAATAGTCAGGCATGTTCCACAAGAGAGACGTGAAGATTGTCCTCGTTGTTTTTGATATAGGCCACAGATCCCGACCCTTCGCCAGTTTTTTAGCCAACAGCTAAGACTCAACATTTCGGCATCACTGCAGCCAAGGCCAGGTTGAGTCCTATGTAGCTTTAGTAATTTTTTTTCTTTGTATTTTGGTCTAATCCGATCTCCTACATGGGTAGTTTGAGTCAAAGCTGATCCGTGATGGCATGCTTGAATCAGCTAGTCTATCAATAGTTGTCGTCGAACTCAGCTAAAATCTGACCAAAGGAAGACGGGCGTGTTACCTGAGTGGGCAGATGAAGAAGTGGCTGGTGTTGTGGGGAACCTTCACAAGCCGAATATACTTACACATAGAGCCCCAACTGCCAAAAAAACGTAAGCATTTTTTTTTATTCAGAAATCCTTAGAGATCATTTATGTATCTTTTGATAAGCCTGGGAGGAGGCTGTTCCTTCGGTAGTGGCCAAACAAAAACTGCTTGTTTAGCTCTTAAACTGTAAGCATTGAGGTCGCGCTGTGTAGGCAATGTTCGGCCAATATTAGAAGGCATGCCGGAGCCGTGCTGAGTTCGGCATTCTAGAAAACCTGAAGCTTCGTCTCCTGCGTCCAACTAGTCCATGAGGACTAAAGAGGCGCAGCATAACTCCGAATCGGCCGATAAATTGCCTTGTATTCTGATAAGAGCGCTTCATGGATTCAGTTAATGTTAATTATTAAAGGTATTCACATGAATTTCATTACTTTCGCGGTTCGTTAGTTGGCAGTTCGGTTAAAGCTTAGAAAGACGGTAGCGTTGATCCGGATTAACTCGGACTTAATTCGGATCAACCGTAGTTAATTCCCGAGTTGATCCGGATCAACATTGCGGTCTGTTTATGCTTTTAGTTGGAGTTTAGGTGCATTCATTAGACTTACGAAAATAAAATTTAAGCAAAACTATATGAAGAGCCCCATTGAATTACTCAAGCATTTTCCAGTTTCTTAAGCAATAGTCAGCAAACATTAGAAATTTAGAAATAAATCCCTTAACACTTAACAGCATTCTTATATCTATGTACATACCTATGTACATCCATTAGTGCATATTACCTAGAATTCGTGTTAAATGAAGCTTGAAGGATTTTCCGCTTTCCTTTTTCTACAGTAAACGGGAAAAGGCAGAACTGAGACTTCTTTTATGTTTTCATTTACGTTTCATTAAACATATCAAAAATAATGACAATACTTGTCGTTCAGCATTTGTGTTCATTCAGGGGATAGTAAATATTAATGTAGTTGGTGTGTATGTATATTAGGGTGCCTTTTTTCGGCGGTGCTCCAGTTCTGAACTCGGAAAATAGCCTACAATTTTGTCATTTACATGTTCTCTGTTGTTATTTACGAGATAGGTGCAAAAAAAGGGAATTTGATGAAAATATTGGATTTAGTGACCCGTACTACCCCGCTGGTGGGAGTGGCCACTTTTGTAGAGCATTCAATTCTGAAGAAACCCCCATCTTTGACCTTGATTATACCGTAAAGTGTGTCTGAAACTGCGATCAAAAATTAGTCTGAAATGTTTTTTTAATTTCCATTGACTGGTAATTTTCCACACTTACAGTCAGCGTCAAAAATTTGAATACCCTGATTACGTTTTGACGATTTTGTTTATTTATATAAGTATTTTCAATTCCGCAATTTCCTTATTTTTTTTATAAAAATATAGTTCATTCAGCAGCAAAAACCAGCAGATTTTTTTTTATTTCATATAGAACTATACAAAATTGAAGAAATACTAAACAATTTTTGTGAAAATTTTCTACTTTTCAATTCGATTTCTTAGAAAAATTTTTACTATGCAGTGTTGTACTACATATCTGAAATTGGAATAGCGCACAAACAAAACAAAAACTAAAGCTGTAACTACTAAGGATTAAAAGCTGCGCTATTCAAGTGACGAGGAGTGTATTAATATGAATTTTTTTCTTGCGGGAACTTTTTTTCCATCATTCCTCGTCCTCTTCTTATGGTATGTTTGTATGTATGTTTAATTTTTGAAAAAAGAGTTATGCCTAATGTATATATGTATGTATAAGTAGTACATATGAATAAACAGTAACTTCCTGTGATTTTATTTTGTATATTTGCTTAGGCTGTTGCTAGGCTTTAGCTACTTGCCCTTAAACTTAAGATGGGCCGGAAACGCCTCTTAACTAATGTTAATCTATACATTTATACATACATATATATGTACATACGAATGTAAGTATATAACGAAAATAGAAAAAAATCCTTACATCACGCACACGACAATGTCAAATAAATTAGCTGCCTGTCTGTCATAAGATAACCATACACATAAGTAATTACATAAATACGTAAAAATGCTAGGAATGTTAATAGCGGGATCTTGGCCTTTT